ACGCTCTGAGGTTTACAGGGTTTAGGGTTTAGGGTTTAGGGTTTAGGGTTCAGGGTTGACAGGGTTTAGGGTTCTCGGGACCCTAAGTGATTGCTTGGGGTTTTTTTTCCGGAAACAGGGGTAACCTTTTGGCAGGCTCCTATAGTGTTTTTTGGGGGAATATTTTCAGACTACCCCTGGACATGCTCCTTTCAACGATGACCTCTGAATTCCCATGCAAAGCCTATAAAGCTACCCTGGTAATCGCTGCAATCTGAACCTACATCCTAATCTCTGGGAGGCCAACAGCAGTTCACCCTAGACCCTAGACCCTGGACCTTAAACCCTAAACCCTAAACCCTAAACCCTAAACCCTAAACCCTAAACCCTACACCCTGAACCCTGAACCCTAAACCCTAAACCCTGAACCCTGAACCCTAAAAGGGGTTTCTTTGTTTTTTTTCCCAGCGGGCGTGGCGGGGAGGGACATGGAGCTCCACCCCAAAGTCCGAAGCCCTGAGCCCCCCCAAACCCAAAACCCTAAATTTAGGGTTTTAGCGTTTAGGGTTTGGGGTTTAGGGTATTCCCAGGGTTTAGGGTTTAGGGTTTAGGGTTTGGGGTTTAGGGTTTAGGGTATTCCCAAACGCTAACCCAAGAGCTAGCCCAGTCGTACCCTTTTCCCTTTTTGGGTTCAAGGTTCCCTTAGAAAGTAGCCAACCCCATAAAACGGTGCCCGCATATTATTGGGGGGTTTACGAAACTAGGGACCCCTAAAATAGACCAAATAGTAGGATTCCCTCATAAAAAGGACCCCAATAAGGTACCCCCATTTCGGAAACCCTCAGGAATCAGGAACCCCTCAGTACGGAACTTTAGGGTTTGACGATGTGAGTGTTTGGTGTTTGGGTTTTGAGGGCTTAGGGTTCAGGGTTGGAGGGGTTTGAGAGTTTGAGGGTTTTCAGGGTTTTAGGGTTGAGGGTTTAGGATCTAGAAGCTAAGGCTTATGGTTGAGGGTTTCGGGAGTTTTCAATGTTCAGGGCTTGAGGGTAGGTGTAGGGTCAACCCGGTAAACGGGTTCAGAGTTTGAGGACCCAATGACCTAGAGTACGTTTCAGGGTTCAGGATTAAGGGTTTCATAGTTGAGGGGCCAGGGTTTGAGGATCTAGGGTTCTTCGTTGTTCAGGGTGTGTAGGGTTGTGGATTTAGGGATCCCAAGCGTCGCAGGGAGTAGGACTCTCGCACAGGAGATCTTTGGGAAGGCCTTTTCTTTTTGCCGAGGTTCTGAGCTTCAAGATTGCAGAGCCTGAGAGCATCTACATCAACCGAGGCGGCGTCGGTTCAGTTACTGTCACACCAGGGCCCGAAGTAGGCCCTTATTCCCTTTATTTAGAGTTTAGGGTTTAGGGTTTAGGGTTTAGGGTTTAGGGTTTAGGGTTCAGGGCTACTGGGACCCCGAGTAGGCCCTTGTTCCCTTTTCTTAGGGTTTGGGTTCTCTTATAGGCCTCTTTAAAGGTTTGGGTTCTCTTATAAGCCCCTTTAAAGGTTTGGGTTCTCTTATAGGCCCCTTTAAAGGTTTGGGTTCTCTTATAGGCCCCTTTAAAGGTTTGGGTTCTCTTATAAGCCCCTTTAAAGGTTTGCGTTCTCTTATAAGCCCCTCTAAAGGTTTGGGTTCTCTTATAAGCCCCTTTAAAGGTTTGGGTTCTCTTATACGCCCCTTTAAAACCAAAAAGGGCGCCCTTTCTATTCCTAGGCTTACTCCTGGGTCGAGCACATGCTGTCACATTGGCAAGTGGGCCTGCGTCTTGGCCCGCGCGCTTTAAAATCAGCCAGGCAGCCATGCTTGCAACATCCACATCCACGGTTTCCGTTTAGGGTTTAGGGGCTTTAGGGTTTGGGGTGTAGGGTTTAGGGTTTAGGGCTTAGGGTTCCTCTTTCAAGTTCTGTCTGCAGGCAATCACGAGGATAGGGACTACTGGCCGATGTCCCTCGGAACCGCTTTGTGGGGTTGGGCCTGTGTTTTCTCCTTTTGTTTCAAGGTCTCTACACCCTGAACCCTAAACCCTAAACACTAAACCCTACTGGGAGCACTACACTACGGCCTCTATGAGTCTTGCTGTTACCGAAGTCAATCGCATCAGGATGCTTGCATGACGAAGAGGTGTAGCCTAAAGCTCTAGCTCAAAAGAAATCATGGTAGAAACCGTATCCCTTGAAACCCCAAACCGAAAACCCGAAAGGTCAAACCGAAAACTTTACACCCTAAACTCTAAACCCCAAACCCTAAACCCCAAACCCTAAGCACTAAGCACCCCTCACTTATGCTCTTTTTTTGATGAACCCTAACCCCCAAACCCTAAACCTAAACCCTAAAACCATCGGACCGCGACTTTTCACCTTGGGGTTTAGGGTTTGGGGTTTAGGATTTAGGGTTTAGGGTTTGGGTCTAGGTTTTGGGGTTTTGGGGTTTGGGGTTTAGGTTTGGGGTTTAGGGTTTGGGGTTTGGGGTTTAGCGTTTGGGGTTTGGGGTTTAGGGTTTAGGGTATCTAGAGTTGAGGGTTTAGGGTTTAGGGTTTCCACTTTGTGGTACGCCGTGAGTGTATTTCTCGCGCAAGTCGCCGCAAACACAAAGGCACTGACGTAACTAGGTCTCGACTCTGAGCACAGCCGATCGAGCGCGGCCCAAAGCCTGAATATTCAGAACGAGACCTTTTAAACGCCTAACCCCTAAATCCTAAACCCTAAGCCCTAAACCCTAAACTCCAAACCCCAAACCCTAAACCCTAAACCCTAAACCCCTAAAACCCTAAACCCTAAACCCTAAACCCCAAAACCCTATATAAACCTCCAGCCTCTACCCCATATCCCTCTATCCTAGCACCCTACAAACTTGAACCCCATATCCCTGAACCCCGTATGCCTGAATCCTCACCCTAAACCCTAAACCCTAAGCCCTAAGCCCTAAGCCCTAAGCCCCAAGCCCTAAGCCCTAAGCCCTAAACCCTAAACCCTAAACCCTAAACCCTAAACCCTAAACCCTAAACCCTAAACCCTAAACCCTAAACCACAAGGTATGGACCTCAAGGCTTCGCCGGCGAGATTGAGTCAAAGTACTCGCGCGAGGAGGCCGGGTCTGGGGTTTGGGGTTGGGGGTTTGGGGTTTAGGGTTTAGGGTTTAGGGTTTCGGGTTTAGAGTTTGGGTTTAGGGTTTAGGGTTTAGGGTTTAGGGTTTGGGGTTTAGGGTTTAGGGTTCAGGCTTTATGGCGATTAGGGGATTACCGGGTTTAGGGTTTAGACAAAGCCCTGAGAACTCCTCAAAATCAGACCCAGACTCTAAACCCCAAAGCTCCAAACCCCGAGGCCTAGAAAACTGGCTTTAGGCTAGGCCTTCGGTGGTTCTAGGCCTTCGGTGGTTCAGGGTTTAGGGTTTAGGATTTGCTTGATGTTCGGGGTTTAGGGTTTTCGTTTTAGGGTTTAGGTTTTGCTTGATGTTTAGGGTTTAGGGTTTAGGGTTTAGGGTTTAGGGTTTAGGTTTAGGGTTTAGGGAACGACGCATAGTGGAGTGTTGGAGCTTCGGTTCGGTGGTTTAGAGTCGGGAGGGAGAGGGAGGGCAGCCTCACACCCGAAGCCCTAAACCCTCAGCCCTGATCCCTAAACCGAGCCCTGAACTTCAAACCCTAAACCCTAAACCCTAAACCCTAAACCCTAAACCCTAAACCCCAAACCCCAAACCCCAAACCCTAAACCACCCGAGGCGGGTGAGCTCATGGATGCCTTCGGAGACCTCTGCGACGCCCTTCCCCTGGGCGCGGTGGTCGACGACTGCAGAGCCTCGGAACGGCAAAGGGGGGTTCACCCGAAACCCTCTAATAGGGTTTAGGGTTTAGGGTTACCCTAAACTCTAAAGCCGGAGTCCTTCATCAAGGCCTTTGTCCGAAACCCTAGAGCCTGAAACCTGAACTCTTAGAGCCCTAGATCATCACTTTTAGGGTTTGGGGTTTAGGGCCAAAGTCCTGTGGACCGAACACTTCAACTTCAAGCTAGGACCGTGTCTGCTCTTGAATCTCCCCAAACGCTAGACGCTGAACCCTAAACTAAGCCCTAAACCCTAGACACTCAACCAAATCTCCTCACCCTAAACCCTAAACCCTAAACCCTAAACCCTAAACCCTAAACCCTAAACCCTAAACCCTAAACCCTAAACCCTAAACCCTAAACCCTAAATCCTAAACCCTAAACCCTAAACCCTAAACCCTAAACCCTCTTGAGGCCTGGTACTCCACGGGGGCCTCCCGCGCTGCGACGCGCTGAAGCTTGAGGATGCCTCCTTGGCTCCAGTATTTGGAGACCAGGGTCCCTAAGCGCTATGTTTGGTAGAGTAGGGTTTAGGGTTTAGGGTTTAGGGCTTAGGGTTTAGGGTTTAGGGTTTAGGGTTTAGGGTTTAGGGTTTAGGGTTTAGGGTTTAGGGTTTAGGGTTTAGGGTTTAGGGTTTACTAAGCCCTGAAACCCAGACCCTAAACCCCTAGCAGATTCAAGGCAGTGGCCCCAAGGGTCTCCAGAAGCCACCTGAGGAACCTACAGCCCTCCCTAACTCCAAACCCTAAGCCCTAAGCCCTAAGCCCTAAGCCCTAAGCCCTAAACCCTAAGCCCTAAGCCCTAAACCCTAAACCCTAAACCCTAAACCCTACTTTGAGTGGAGATCATCCATGTAGGGAAGATGCGTCGCGGCTCCTGATCAGCCGAATTTGAGTCTCCCATGTTGCACAGAAGCCCCCGGCCCCACCCACATTGCCGGTTAAGGGTTTCGGGTTTAGGGTTTGAGCAAGATGCATCCTGTAAATCCACACATGTACGGTATATAGATACACATACGCCCTACATAGCCTCTCTCTCTCTCTACATATATATATGTATATATATATATATTGTAGCTAGACATGGGTGTTTAGGGTTTAGAGTTTAGGTGTTTACCTTGTGAAGAGTTTCTCAGCCGCAGCTCCTCTGAAGCATCCCTTACATTTGCCATGCCGAAAGTGCCCGCGGCGCTGCGTGGTCTGAAGCCAGGAGATACCCTGGTGGCTCGGTCGGAGGGGCGGCTGGAAGGTTTAGGGTTTAGGGTTTGGGGTTTCGGGTTTAGGGTTTGGGGGTTTAGGGTTAGGGTTTGAGGGTTTAGGGTTTGGGGGTTTAGGGTTTGGGGTTTAGGGTTTGAGGGTTTGGGGGTTTAGGGTTTGGGGTCAGGGTTTAGGGTTTGGGGGTTTAGGGTTTGGGGTTTAGGCTTAATGCGTTTAACTTTAGGGTTCCGGGAATTTTCTCGCCGGAAGAAAGGCGCGTAGTCAAGCAGGCTCTAGACACTAGATCCTCAACCCTAAGTAAGGTAGCCTTGACAGCCTCAACCAAGGACATAGAAACTTGCGCATAACCCTCCAAAACCCTAAAACCCCAAAACCAAAACCCCCAAAGCCCTAGACCCTCAAAACCTTAAACCCTAAACCCTACCCATGAAGCTCCATTGAGAGTTCAGGGTGGCAGGCTGTCAGACTCCAACACCCCTAAACCCTAAACCCCCAAAACCCTAGAAACCCTTTAAACCCTACAAATCCTACAAACCCTACAACCCGAAGACCCTAAAAGCCGTGAAAACCCTTCCTTAAAACCCTAACAACCCTAAAGCACCCTAGACCGGGCCCAGCAAGCCCTAAGTCTAATTCCTAAACACCCCCCGCCCCCCCCCCCCCCCCCCCCCCCCCCTTTTTTTTTTTTTTGGGGGGGGGGGGGGGGATTTGCGCCTGAGGTGTTTTGGCCCACCACGCCAGAATGGACAAAAGAGTCGCCAGATCAAGCTATTTGCATTCGAGTAGAGTTTAGGGTTTAGGGCTTACGGTTCAGGGTTTAGAGGTTAGGGGTTAGGGCTTGGGGTATATTATTATAGAATGTAACTAAACATTGCATATGCACATTATCAAATACAACAAGTGTGTATTAAAAGCGACTTGCAATCTAGGAGCTTCGAGGCTCATGGCCAGTTCTGGTTTGAGGATTTTAGTGCTTCAGGATTTAGGGTTTAGTTTTGGGGGTTTAGAGTTTAGGGTTCAGGGTTAGGGCATAGGGTTTAGGGCTTAGAGTTTAGGGTTAGGGCGTAGGGTTTAGGGTTTAGGGTTTAGGGTTTAGGGTTAGGGCGTAGGGGTTAGGGTTTCCTGTGGGGGTTTAGGGTTCTTTTATTCTTCCACTTGTGGCCCCATGGTACCTTATAGAAAGATCGTCGGAGACAGACCTAGTAGACCTCAATCCGAAAGTGGTCCAGTTGCTGAATTGCTGCCTAAAGGTTAGGCAGGGGGGCCAGGGTTTTACTATTTGGGGTTTGGGATACACCTGAGACGCGGGTTTCTTCGACAGGTGCTTGAAGGTTCCTACTTTCGTTGTAACCCTAAACCCTAAACGCAAAACCCTAAACGCAGAACCCTAAACGCAAAACGCTAAACCCTAAACCCTAAACCCTAAGACTTAGGCGCGAAGGGCCCTACTCACGGCTGCCCATGCAGCTTCAAAGCTGAAACCCTACCTGCGGAACTAACCCATGAAGCTTCACGCGGTTCATGCACTCGTTTAGGGTTTAGCTCAACTTCGTAGGGTTTATTTAGAGTAGAAGAATGAGGCGGCGGTTTATCGAAATTGCCGCCCCCCCCCCCTTTTTGCCACTGGAACTAGTTTGAGGGTTTAGGGTTTTTGGTTCAGGGTTTGGGAGGTTCAAGGGTCTAAGGCATGTCAGTTTTAACGCCACGCGACCCGCCTCGGCCGGGGCCTGCGCAGCCGCAAGGTTGCTGTCGAGAGGACATTGAGGCCAATGTGCAGACCCGGCTTACAGATGCCGTAGGCTACTCTCCACACCCGCGCCGTTGGTTTCGGATGGGTAGGGTGGAGGGGTAGAGGGGGGGGGTGGGTGGGTGGGTGGGTGGGGTGTGGGTAGCAGGAGGGTATCGTTGACAAAATAGTCACACCAAATGTCCTGATCCTGCTGCGCCCAGAACAGGCAAAACAGTCTAAACCCTAAACCCTAAACCCTAAACCCTAAACCCTAAACCCTAAACCCTAAACCCTAAACCCTAAACCCTAAACCCTAAACCCTAAACCCTAACCTAACCCTAAACCCTAAACCCTAAACCCTAAACCCTAAACCCTAAACCCTAAACCCTAAACCCTAAACCCTAAACCCTAAACCCTAAACCCTAAACCCTAAACCCTAAACCCTAAACCTAAACCCTAAACCCTAAACCTAAACCTAAACCTACCCTAACCCTAAACCCTAAAAACCCTAAACCCTAAACCCTAAACCCTAAACCCTAAACCCTAAACCCTAAACCCTAAACCCTAAACCCTATACACTAAACCCTAAACCCTAAACCCTAAACCCTAAACCCTAAACCCTAAACCCTAAACCCTAAACCCTAAACCCTAAACCCTAAACCCTAAACCCTAAACCCTAAACCCTAAACCCTAAACCCTAAACCCTAAACCCTAGCCCTAAACCCTAAACCCTAAACCCTAAACCCAGTCCCAACCAAAGGGGTTCAAGGTGGGGACACCTACGACTCGAGGCTTCGGCGACAGAAGATCCATGATTACGATCAGCTAACCCCCGAACCCTAAACGCTAAACCCTAAACCCTAAAGCCTAAAGCCTAAAGCCTAAACCCTAAACCCTAAACCCTAAACCCTAAACCCTAAACCCTAAACCCTAAACCCTAAACCCTAAACCCTAAACCCTAAACCCATAAGTTTGGTCAACCTCCAGGTATCCGGAACGCTGGAAGATCGGAGGAGAGCTCACCTTGGACGCCGTGTGTCTTGCCGGGGGTTTAGGGCTTCAGGTTGTTTGGGGTTTAGGGTTTCGGCGTTAACCCTAAACCCTAAACCCTAAACCCTAAACCCTAAACCCTAAACCCTAAACCCTAAACCCTAAACCCTAAACCCTAAACCCTAAACAACCCTAAACCCTAAACCCTAAACCCTAAACCCTAAACCCTAAACCCTAAACCCTAAACCCTAAACCCTAAACCTAAACCCTAAACCCTAAACCCTAAACCCCAAACCCTAAACCCTAAACCCTAAAGCGGCTAAGGAGTGAGTCGACCCCACGGCCCTGCAAGGCCACCTGGAAAGATGGAGGCGCCTGAATGGTGGCGGTGGGTTTACGGTTTTGGGTTTCGGGTTTGGGGTTCCGGGTTTCGGGTTTGGGGTGCTAGGGTTTTAGGTTTAGGGTTTTTGGGAGCTTCAGGGTTTAAATCTTTTTGGGGGGTTTTGGAGTTCGCGGGTTTGGGGGTTCGGGTTCTCAACCCAGAACCGTCAGGCCCTTACCCCACATTCCGGAAGCCTAAAATCAAGCTCGACAGCCTAAATGCCTAGGCCAAAGTCCCTAACCCCAAACCAAGCCTTCACACACAAGACCCAGACGCCTAGAACCCGAAGCCCTCGACCCTCGAACCTCAGAGCCTTCCTAGAACTCGCCCAAGCCCCTAAACCCGAATTTCCAGAATAGGGCTTCGAGTTTAGGGTTTGGGGTTGTCAACCCGAAGCCCTCAATCCCAAACCGTAAATCCGTAAACGCTATTGGGTTATTCACAGGAGCCTGCTTCAGGGGGTGAGGATTTCTTTCCTGACCCTCAGCGAGCTTTTATTTGGCCCTCATTTTGGGGTAGGTGTGGGCCCCTAAATCCTAAACCCTAAACCCGATACCCTAAACCCTAAACCCTAAACCCTAAACCCTAAACCCTAAACCCTAAACCCTAAACCCTAAACACCAAACACCCTAAACCCTATTGGGGGGGGGGGGCAAGCAGAGGGATCCCTAGAAGCCTCTAAGAGTCCCTAAGGCCCCCGAAAGCCCTGAAGCCCTAAAAGCTCCTTCCCCCAATGCCCCACCCTAAACCCTAAACCCGAAACCCGAAACCCTAAACCCTAAACCCTAAACCCTAAACCCTAAACCCTAAAGAAGGGGGCACGGCCTGGCTTCTCTGGTGCGACGTGGCGCTTCCGGGGACCACGGGCGCCTGGGACGCCACAAACAATACCTCCCCTCTCCCCTTGGTCCCATAAGGTGGGTTTAGGGTTTAGGGTTTCGGGTTTAGGGTTTAGGGTTTGGGGTTTAGGGTTTTAGGGTTTTAGGGTTTTGGGGTTTAGGGTTTAGGGTTTTAGGGTTTTAGGGTTTTAGGGTTTTAGGGTTTTAGGGTTTAGGGTTTAGGGTTTTAGGGTTTTAGGGTTTTAGGGTTTTAGGGGTTTAGGGTTTTAGGGTTTTAGGGTCTAGGGTTTAGGGTTTTAGGGTCTTAGGGTTTTAGGGTTCAGGGTTTAGGGTTCGCAGCAAGACCCGAGGCCCTAGCCCCTCTGAACCGAGTAAGCTGTAAGCTCCAGGCCCGCGTGACATAAGCCGCCATTCACTAACCGAGCCCTTCTTTGTAGCACCTCAAGGGCATACTAGTGCGGCGCGGGCTTAAAGTCTAGGCTTTTAGGCCTTCAGGGGTTAGGACCCTAAACCCTAAACCCTAAGCCCGAAACCCTAAACCCTAAGCCCTGAACCCTAAACCCGAAACCCTAAACCCTAAACCCTAAACCCTAAACCCTAAACCCTAAATCCAAAGCAGCGCCCCGGGCACTCAGGGGACACGTCCTGGAAAAGTAAAGAGGCCTCTCGGAAGATCTCGTGGAGTGGTGTTTCAGGCTTTAGGGTTTGGAATTTAGGGTTTAGGGTTCAGGGTTTAGGCCTTAGGGTTTAGGATTTGGAATGTTGGGTTCAGGGTTTAGGGCTTGGAGTGTTTGGCAGTTGCACGATGAAGGGGTCAAAGGACTTAGGGTTTAGGAGATTCGGCGCTTAGAGCTTTAGGGGGCTCAGGCTTAGGGGTTTAGGGTTTCGGGGGTTTAGAGGTTATTTACGGGTTTAGGGTTTAGGGCGGGCTTAGGGGCTTAGGCTTAGTGATGTGGGTTGCAGGGCTTTAGAACATATCAGGGTTAGGTTTTGGAGCTCCAGGGTTTAAGGTGAGAGGGGGGAGGGGGGGGGAGGGGGGGGTTGTCAACCCTAGACCCTAAACCCTAAACCCTAAACCCTAAACCCTAAACCCTGAACCCTGAACCCTGAACCCTGAACCCTGAACCGTACAGCAGATGGCTCAGGTTACCGTCTGTGGCATGGACGGTACGACCCTGGGAACCTATGAGAATCCCAGCGTAGATTTGGAGGTTTAGACAGTACTCAGGGTTTAGGGGTTTAAGGGTTGGAGTTGAGGGGTTTAGGCGTTAGGGTTTAGGCTGTATTCAGGTTTGGGTTTAGGGGTTTAGGGGTTTAGGTTTAGGGCCGTTTAGGGTTTAGTGTTTACGGTTTAGGGTTGAACCCGAAACCCGAACTAAACCCTCGTGAAGGTCCTTACTGCCTGCGTTGAGCGGTACTTTTGCCGATGCAGCAGTTTTTAGTGACAGAAAGAGCCCCCCTAAACCATAAACCCTAAACCCAAAACTCTAAACCCGAAACCCGAAACCCGAAACCCTAAACCCTAAACCCTAAACCCTAAACCCTAAACCCCAAACCCTCAACCCTAAACCGCAAAACCCTAAACCCTAAACCCTAAACCCTAATCCCTAAACCCTAAACCCTAAACCCTAAACCCTAAACCCTAAACCCTAAACCCTAAACCCCAAACCCTCAACCCTAAACCGCAAAACCCTAAACCCTAAACCCCAAACCCTCAACCCTAAACCGCAAAACCCTAAACCCTACACCCTAAACCCTAAACCCTAAACCCTAAACCCTAACCCTAAACCCTAAACCCTAAACCCTAAACCCTAAACCCTAAACCCTAAACCCTAAACCGTGTGAAGTCGGCCCTGGCTCTGCAACCCATAGCTCGGAACTTCGTGTGGGACGTCCTGGGACCTTATCTCTTAGGGACGGCTTACTTCTCCAACAGCTGGACTGTAAACTTTTTGGGTTTAGGGTTTAGGGTTTAGGGTTTAGGGTTTAGGGTTTAGGGATCATAAAGGTTAACCCTTTTTTCCTTCTTGTGCATTGGAGAAGTAAGACGGAGTAGGTGACCTTTATCTAACCTTTTTGGTCCTACGGGTGGTTGTCTTAAACTTATGGTCCCTTTTTGGATCCAATAATCATACGGGCACCCAATATTTACGGTACCCCGAGAGGGATCAGAATTTTGACAGCCACCCATATAGATTCCGACGATATGTGAAAGGTTCCCTAAACCCTAAACCCTAAACCCTAAACCCTAAACCCTAAACCCTAAACCCTTTTGGGCTAGGATATTCAGCCCCGAAGTTATGCCACTACCCGAAAGAAGGCTCAAGCAACGTGGGGTTTAGGGGGTCCAGGGGCGAAGGGGCTTCGGGGTTTCAGGCAAGCCGTGCTTTGACCGGCTTTTTTGGTAGGATCCCAGAACTTTGCGGCGGCTTGGGGGATTTGAGGTTTCGGGGGCCCCGACCTGAGCCCACACTCTAAAGACACGTACCCCTTATGGACTATGGAAGCGCAAATCCCTTAACCCTAGACTCCAAACCCTAAGACTCCAAGACCCAAAGACCCAAAGACCCTTAACCCCTAAACCCCTAAACCCCTAAACCCCTAAACCCCTAAACCCCTAAACCCCTAAACCCCTAAACCCCTAAACCCCTAAACCCCTAAACCCCTAACACCCCTAAACCCCCAAACGCCTCTAAATCCCCAAACCTCCAAACCCCCAAACCCCCAAACCCCTAAACCCCTAAACCCCGAAACCCCTAACACCCCTAACACCCCTAAGACCCCCAAACCCTCAACCCTCTCCCGGGCCATCTTAGGCATCATACCAAGACCCCGAAATCCCTAACACCCTAAGACCCTAAGACCCGAAGACCCTAAGACCCTAAGAACCTAAGACCCTGCGAACCCTAAGACCCAAAGACCCTAAGACCCTAAGACCCGAAGACCCTAAGACCCTAAGAGCCTGAGACCCTAAGACCCTAAGACCCTAAGACGCTAAGACCCTAAGACCCTAAGACCCTAAGAGCCTGAGACCCTAAGACCCTAAGACCCTAAGACGCTAAGACCCTAAGACCCTAAGACCCTAACACCCTAAGACCCCAAGACCCTAAGACCCTAAGACCCTGCGAACCCTAAGACCCCAAGACCCTAAGACCCTAAGACCCGAAGACCCTAAGACCCTAAGAGCCTGAGACCCTAAGACCCTAAGACCCCAAGACCCTAAGGCCCTAAGACCCTAAGACCCTAAGACCCCAAGACCCTAAGACCCTATGACCCTGCGAACCCTAAGACCCCAAGACCCTAAGAGCCTAAGAGCCTAAGAGCCTAAGAGCCTAAGAGCCTAAGAGCCTAAGACCCTAAACCCCTAAACCCTAAACCCTAAACCCTAAACCCTAGACCCTAGACCCTAAACCCTAAACCCTAAACCCTAAACCTCAACCCCTAAACCCTAAACCCTAAACCCTAAACCTCAACCCCTCGAATCTTAGGATGCCGGGGAGCACTGTCGGGGAGCTGTGTGCCAAGTTGGCCAAAGTGCGCCGGGCTCGTCCTAAGGGGCTTAGAGGTTCGGGCTTCAGGTTAAGGGCTTAGGGAGTTTAGGGTTTAGGGTTTGGAGTTGAGGGGTTTAGGGGTTCAGGGGTTGAGAGTTTTGGGTTTCAGGCGTTATGGGTTTTTTGGCTTGGGTTTAAGCTTCAGGGTTTCGGGTTCCAAGGTCTAGGGTTTGTCTCTTCGCGTGCAAGAGCTGTACCTCTCCCGCGCGGACGTAGAAGGAGGCTTTTTCGAAGTAAGGGCCCACGTTGCAGAGACCTTGGTGGCAATCTTGAACCCTAAGCCCTGTTTAGGGTTTAGCGTTTAGAGTTTAGGGTTTAGGGAACCTCTCATTCCCTACTAAGAACGAGTGTAGAAACACATCCCAACTAGGGCTGCGGTTGCTCCAGCTTCTCTAAGTGTAGTTTCATGGTCCATTACTATGGTTTCTTACCCTCTTTAAAGGGTTCTGAAGTACACGGCCCCTTGAATTGTATAGGGTATTTAAGGGGATATAAGGACCCCCCCCCCCCCCCTTTTAAGGGCACATATTCAGGCGCCATGTGAAGGTTTACGAAAATAGGGGACTCCCAAGATAGACCCAAATAGTAGGATCCCCTGATAATAAGGACTCCAATAAGGTACCCCTATTTTCGGAAACCCCCAGAAAAGGGCTCCCCTGTTAAGGGCCCCATATTCAGGGAGCATGTGAAGTAGGGTTTATCTTACTGTTATTGGTGAGTGTATGTAAGATTCCGTTTTGGTATTGTGAGTGTATATACCGGGTGTCCTTTTGGGGGTACAAGAAATATATACCCTATTCCATGTGACGACCCTAAGAGCCCTGAGAGGAACTCAGCGTGCCGAACAAGTTCCTCGTGGAGCTCTCCTTTCAGGTGGCTTGAGAGCAGCCCCCTGAAGCCCCAAATTCCTAAACCCTCAACCCTCAACCCTCAACCCTCAACCCTCAACCCTCAACCCTCAACCCTCAACCCTCAACCCTCAACCCTCAACCCTCAACCCTCAACCCTCAACCCTCAACCCTCAACCCTCAACCCTCAACCCTAAACCCTAAACCCTAAACCCTAAACCCTAAACCCTAAATTCCCTCCTTCGGGCTTCGGACCTGCTTCTTGACAGGACAAGAAGCTGGCGCCCGAGCTGTCCTTGCAGGTCCAAGGCCTCGGGGGGCCTTGTTGGGGTTCTTTTGTAGGGTTTAGGGTTTAGGGTTTAGGGTTTAGGGTTTAGGGTTTAGGGTTTAGGGTTTAGGGTTTAGGGTTTAGGGTTTAGGGTTTAGGGTTTGGGGGTACGAGGGTTTTAGGGAAATTTTAGGGTTTCGGTTCGGATATTTAGGGTTTAGGGTTTTGGGCTTTCTTGTTGTTTTAGAATTAAGATTTAGCTGTTCAGGGCCCGGAAGCGCCAGGGATCTCAGCCCCCCAAACGAGGGCCCAAGAGTCTTCTTGGATTCATAGGGCCAAGCCCAGCTTGGCACCGAGAGGCGGACTCGTTTGTCTGTGTTGCTTCCGCTTATTTCTTGCTCCCTTCCTCCCTTCCCTTCCCTTCCTCCCTTCCCTTCCCTTCCTCCCTTCCCTTCCCTTCCCTCCCTTCCTTCTCTACAGAGTCGAACCCTGAACCCTCATTCCCTGAGGCAACGGCCCTCTAAGGGAAGATACTAGACCTTGGGTGTTACAGTAAGGGCGATCTAAGGGTTCCGTATACTAAGGGACCATCGGACGACCCTACGACGCCGGGGCCACCCTGACGCTAAAGAGTCAAAACCTCGGGCCCGTAATCCGTTAAGCAACAGCCAGCCACGCCTAGGGTTTAGGGTTTAGGGTTCAGGGTTTAGGGTTTAGGGTTTAGGGTTTAGGGTTTAGGGTTTAGGGTTTCGGGTTTCGGGTTTAGGGTTTAGGGTTGAGGGTTTTGAAGCCTCCCAGGCGTTCCGGATGGTGCAACTTTGACACTGGTGAAAGTGGAAGGCAAGTCCGTTGCTGGGTGCCACACCTTCGACCTCAAGTCCTACCCAGAGCCTTGCCGAGAGTGCTGATGAACCTCTTCGCTGGGTAGGGGTTGGGAAGCCGCTGAAAAGCAAAACGCTTTGTGTTTAGGGCTTGTGCGGCTAGGGTTTCAGTGGCTTGTGGGGTCAACACACCACGTGGTCTAGGGTTTCGGGGCCTTACGGCCGCGAAGGCCTGTTTAGGTTTTGGGTTGAGGGTTCAGGGTTGTGAAGACGGGGGGGGGGGGGGGGGGGGGGGGGGGGGGGGGGGGGGGGGGGGGCGGGGGGGCAGGACCCACATGAGCCGACATCAACTGTTGCATCTGCTATGGAAGGAAGACCGTTACAGCGAGTGGCAAGAGGTCCAGCTGAACGAGGCACCTTGCGTGTGTGCCATCAGCTGAAACATTCCCGAAACCCCGGGACCCTAAACCCCTTGAGGCCTCAACCCTAAACCCTCAACCCTCGACTGACGAAGCCTTGAGGCAAAGCCTTGTTGTGGGGTTTGGGGGTTTGGGGTCGGTACGTCCTGAGATCTGTCATATCCCGACACGAAGCCCTGAACCCTGAACCCCAAGTCTGACCTGCAAAAGCTTCTTAAACCCTAAACCCTAAACCCTAAACCCTAAACCCTAAACCCTAAACCCTAAGCCCTAAGCCCTAAGCCCTAAACCCTAAACCCTAAACGCTAAACCCTAAACCCTAAACCCTAAACCCTAAACCCTAAACCCTAAAAACATCCTCCTGCCAGGATGGGTCCTGTTCCCACGCAGAGGTCACAGCCGGGACGGGCCGGCTTAGCGGCTCGTTTGCGGTTAGGGGTTTAGGTTTAGGGTTTAGGGTTTAGGGTTTAGCGTTTAGGGTTTAGGGTTTAGGGTTTAGGGTTTAGGGTTGAGACTTTGAGATTCCCTGTTGCAGGGAACCCTAAGCCCCCGAACCCCCGAACCTAAAACCCTAAAGTCCCCGAACCCCCCAAAAAACCCAAACCCTAAACCGTTAACCCCTACACCCGAATCCTAAAAACGCTCAACCCCTAAACCCTTGAACCCTAGACCTGTATGTATGTCTGTATGTCTGTATGTCTGTATGTCTGTATGTCTGTATGTCTGTATGTCTGTATGTCTGTATGTCTGTATGTCTGTATGTCTGTATGTCTGTATGTCTGTATGTACGTACGTATGTACGTACGTAGGTATGTATGTATGTATGTATGTATGTATACTGTTTTCAAAATTTTGGGGTTCTTCAGTACAATAGTAGTCTGGGCGACACGGTGTAGGCGTTAGGGTTTTCAGGGATAAGGGTCAGGGGCAAAGTGGTTTACGGGTTTAAGTTTAAGCAGGGTTCATGGTTTTCAAGGGTTGTTAAGAGTAATGTTCAGGGGTTAAAGGCATAGGGTTTAAGGGGGTTGAAGCCTTTAAGTTTTTGAGGGTGTAGGGTTTTGGGGCGAGCATTAGGACTTCTGGTTCATCTACAGAGCGCAGACGGCACGACTTGCGATTGGGAACGGGGGCATTTATGTAAGAGCCAGCTTCATTAAACCCCTAAAGCCTAAACCAGAAACCCTAAACCCTAAACCTACAGTAAACCCTAAACCCTAAACCCTAAACCCTAAACCCTGAACCCTGAACCCTGAACCCTGAACCCTGAACCCTGAACCCTGAACCCTAAACCGAAGCCATCCCATGCGAGTGCAACACCCTCAAAGCCGAACTCGGCAGCAACGCCGAGGTGCTGTATCCACCACCGACAGAAGCTTGGCAGTTCAATGGCACCCTTTATACCCCTTTTTTGGGGTTATGGGTTCCCTCATAAAGGTATCCAACCCCTCAAGAAAAGGGTGCCCTTGTTACAGTATGGTTACTGGGCTACTAAGTACCCCAAACCCGAAACCCGAAACCCGAAACCCGAAACCCGAAACCCTAAACCCTAAACCCCAAACCCTAAACCCTAAACCCTGAACCCCAAACCCTGAACCCTGAACCCTAACCCTAAACCCTAAACCAAACCCTACACCCTAAACCCTAAACAAGGAGACAGGTTACTGGGCTACCAAGGAAAGATCAAAAAGCACGGCACTTGGGCGGTATCCTCGCGCACGAAGACGAAGGCCAGCTGGGAGCAAGTGGACGCGGTGATATCAGGGTTTAGGGTTTAGGGTTTAGGGTTCCCTTCACGGAGTACCCTAACGGTTCGTGACGGCGGATTACTTGGGCAGTAAAGGGCTTCCTATATCGTAGCTGTAGGGCCCAAGTATATACTATAAAGGTGCATAGGATAATCCCGTCGTAATCCCAATACCATACACCACGACCCAAAATCACTCATTCAAAATAGACCGGCCCTTGTATTACTCAAAGGCTCTTGGGCAGTTGGAAGTAGGGTTTCGGGTTTTTGGGTTTAGAATTTCGGGCTTAGGGTTTAGGCTGCAGGTCGTGGTGGTCATTTCCTGGGATGATGGCAAGAGCGAGACGAAGACCATCGACATTTAGCGTGCTGCGTGTCTCGGATTAGGATCAGGGTTTTGAGCTTGACGGTTTAGGGTTTAGGCTTTGGGTTTTAGGGTTTAGGGTTTAGGTTTTACGGTTTTTGGGCTAGCTGAAGGATATGCTTATGCGCAGTCTCCTGAGTGGTTGTCAATCAGGGGGCGGATGGGGAAGAGGGGGGGGGGAAGGCCCTTGGAGATCCTGAGAAAGACCAATACCACCTGAAGCAGGACTACATGAAGCAGGGTTTACTTGGATGCCCAGTAGTGCCCTTATTCCCATTTGGGGGCTCTAGGTTCCCCTATAAACCCCTTTAAGCAAAAAAGGGCACCCTTTTTAATCCTAGGTTACTGGGCAACCTAGTCTATATTATTGTTCTTGGTGAGTGTATATATGGTCCCCTTTTTAATATTGGTGAGTGTATATACCGGGTGTCTTGTTGGGGGTACAAGAAATATATACCCTACTTCACATGAGGTGATGTCCCCGCGAGATGGTCAGAGCGTGGAGGTCAGAGCGTATTGTCACGAACGCCGCTTTGTTCGCGAACATGCACTGACAGACTCTCTGAAGTCTTCTACCCTGGACCCTTAACCCAAACCTAATAGTGTCATATGAAGAGTTTCACCGAGACGGTTCTCCTGGCATTCCCGCAGTGGTTGCAAGAATGATGTGAATAAGGCTTCGGGGCTGGGCAGGCAGCAGGCAATCCTTAAACCTTTGTGGTTATGTAAATGTAGACTCCTGCTATGTGTTAAAGGTTCCCATTTTGGGCTAGGGTATTCAGCCCCTTAAAAAGGGTTCGAGCTCAGTGTAGACTGGCAGGTCTCAACTCTACCTCCTTTGGGTTCTTTTGGGGGCCCTTTTTTTTTTTTTTTTCTTGATTTAGGGTTTAGGGTTTAGGGTGTAGGGTTTAGGGTGTAGGGTTTAGGGTTTAGGGTTTAGGGTCTAAATTAATGTTACGGGTTAAGATGACACTCATTCCCAACCCCCCGTCCCCTCCGGCTTTGTGTCTTCTCCCGGCTCTCACATCCCATCCGCGCTGAACCTCACTGAGCTTCAAGCTAATTCCCCTAAACCCTAAGCCCTAAACCCCAAACCCCAAACCCTAAACCCTAAACCCTAAACCCTAAACCCTAAACCCTAAACCCTAAACCCTAAACCCCCTTACCTTCCACCCTGAGAAAGTCCAAGGCCCAAATCTGGGGCTTTCGTGGCAATCGCTGCCTACCTGAGCAGCAGCATCTCTTTTTTCCCCTGAGGACAACGTGTGATAGCTCGTCGTTTAGAATTTGGGGTTTATATAGGGTTTAGGGTTTAGGGTTTCGGGTTTAGCGGTTAGGGTTTACAGCAGAGCTAAGGCATTCTTCTCAACCGTCCCTGTCAAGGGGGGATCTGTTTCTCTCACACGGTGACCGTAGACCCAAAACCCAAAAACCCAAAACCCAAAACCCTAAACCCCCAAACCCTAAACGGCCCCCTAACCCTGAACCCCACATCCTAAACCCGTTTTGTCCTCCCTGGCCCCTAAGCCCTAAACCCCAAACCCCTAAACTTCCCAACGCCCTCAGACATAAAATCATGCGTTTCCATCCTCTGTAAACCCCTAAAGCCTAAACGCTTAAACCCCAAACCCCAAACCCCAAACCCCAAACCCTAAACCCTAAACCCTAAACGCTAAACCCTAAACCCTAAACCCTAAACGCTAAACCCTAAACCCTCAACCCTAAACCCTAAACCCTAAACCCTAAACCCCAAACCCTAAACCCTAAACCCCCTAAAACCTCAAAACGCTTCGTTCCATCCTCCACGTTGCTTTCAGTGAGTCTGCCGGCTGCTGCGCTGCTCGGGCCTGTGACATCCGGAGTCATCTAGGGTTTGGGTTTTTGGGTTTTTGGGTTTTTGGTTTAGGGTTTAGGGTTTAGGGTTTAGGGTTTAGGGTTTAGGGTTTAGGGTTTAGGGTTTAGGGTTTAGGGTAAAAACCCTCAAACCCAAAGCCCTACAACAAAAGCTTCCTATGATTTCGGTGCATGGATTTACAATTCATTCGACCTGCGCATCTGCCACAGGGCACAAAAGCGGGGTCGAGTGACGGGAGATGAAGCCGGCGGCACAAAAGGGTCAAACCCTAAACCCTCAACCCTAAACCCTAAACCCTAAACCCGAAACTCGAAACCCGAAACCCCAAACCCGAAACCCTAAACCCTAAACCCTAAACCCTCAACCCTAAACCCTGACCCCAAACCCTAAACCTAAAGCCCCTTGAGGTAGGCCCCTGAAAGCCCCAAAGCCCTGTAAGGGTTTGGGTGGAGGGCTTGAGGGCTTAAGGGTATAGCCCTGGGCTGTAAGCTACCATGTTAAGCAATCCCTCCCTTGAAGGCCCCCTTAAGTATACGCTTAGGTACCGGGGGCCCTTCGGGTTTGAAGGCCCATAGGGTTTAGGGCTTAAGGCTTAGGGTTTAGGGCTTGAGGCTTAGGGCTTAGGGCTTAGGGCTTAGGGCTTAGGGTTTAGGGCTTAGGGTTTAGGGTTTAGGGTTTAGGGTTTAGGGTTTAGGGCTTAGGGTTTAGGGTTTAGGGTTTAGGGCTCATTCGCCCTCAGGAGATCGCTGCGCTACCCCGGCCTGTGGTTATTCCAGAGACACAAGGCGCCATTCAGCAGATCCAGGGGTATTGGGGTTTGTTTGAGTTTTAGGGTTTTCGGGTATTTGTTAGTGTTTTAGGGGTATTTAGATTTTTAGGGCATTTAAGGTTTTAGAGTTTACACGTTTTTTAGGGTTTCAGGGTTTTGGGGCATTTAGGGTTTTAAGGTTTTAGGGTGTTAGGGTGCTAGGGTTTTAGGGTTTAGAGTTTAGATGTTTGAGATTTGGATTCAACTTTTTGACTTGGGGTGCTGTGTGTTAAGTTGCCCTACATGTGGGGGTCTTTGGGTTAATTTCTGTTGTTTGGGGTTTGGGGGGGTTTATGTCTCTTACATATCCAATGGTTCTGGCTACTGGTGCTGTGTGGATGACGGTCATCATCACCATCATCATCATCACCATCACCATCACCACCATCACCATCACCATCACCACCATCACCCTCACCACCATCATAATCATCATCATCATCATCATCATCATCATCATCATCATCATCATCATGAATCATCGTAAATCATCATATATCATCATAATCAACGCTTGCCAATGCCATCACTGCCATTGCTCGTGTCGCCACCATTCATCGGCATCATTTTCATTGTCATAATTAGAAGCGTAATAATCCCGACATCTTCAATATCTTAAGAACCCCCCCAAAATACGTGGCAATAATCCTCATATCACCCTTATAAGGGTGTTATTCTTTCGGGGGTCTTAAGCAAATAGTAGTAGTTATTACGAAAAGTTTTCTTCTTTAGTGTTTGGTTCGTTTTTTTGTTGTGGGTGTTGGCTCCATGCTTTCCTTTGGCTTCGCGCCACATTTGAGGACACCAGGGAGTCGCAAGGAGGAGCAGCTTGGCGCGAGCTGGAGCCCGAAGCCCCCCGAAAAGGCTTAGAGTTTAGGGGGTAGGGTTTAGTGTTTAGGGTTTGGGGTTTGGGGTTTGGGGTTTGGGGTTTAGGGTTTAGGGTTTAGGGTTTAGGGCTTAGGGTTTAGGGTTTAGGGTTGAGGGTTTGGAGTGTAGGGGGTTTGAAGAAGGTTCAGGGTATTCCGTGGCTTCTGCAAGCCCATCTTGCGGCGTGCGGCTGCGCGGTTTGATCAACTGGGTCAATCCAAAGTACGGCTCCTATCGGGGTCTCGGTGACAGCAACAGCTCCTTACCGTTCAAAGGGTACCCGAGAAGGGCCCCATAGCTTTGGCTGCCCGAAGCCCTAAACCCGAAACCCGAGGCCCCACCCCCAAACCCCTGCGTCGGGTTAGTGTTCAGGTTTCAGAGTTTAGGGTTTAGGGTCTAGCCCTAAACCCGAAACCTCAAGCTTCCAATGCCAACGGCCTCTGCTAGGGTTCGTCAGGTACCCGGCGGCTCACACCCTGCGCTTCAAAACCTTAAACACGCAGTGGTGCCCTTTACCCTTTTATTGCTTATGGGTTCCCTTATAAGGTAACGAACCCAAGAAAGGGCCCCTGTTCGAATATGGTTACTGGGCTACCAAGAAACTCTACACCCACAACTTGAAAGCCTTTGAACCATGAGCCGGCTTAAGATTCAGGGTGCTCTCTGCCTTGATGCCAGGGCCAGGGTGGGTGTACTTTGCAGGTGTCGAAAGTAGGACGCGCTCGAAGGTGTAGGTAGCTTTGCCATCTTGCCAGGAGTACTCGTGGCACCCCATAAGTGTCCTGAGAGCAGCCCTAGAATGTGACTACCTGGTAACTCCCTGCCTGAAAAGCGGTTTAGGGTTTAGGGTTTAGTTTTTGGGAGTTGCTTCGAGGATCATCTATGACATCACCTGGGCTGACCCGCACTTGGCGGCTTGGGCCGCAACGCAAAGCCCGTAATTGCACCCCTAAACCCCAAACCCCAAACCCTAAACCCTAAACCCTAAACCCTAAACCCTAAACCCTAAACCCCTAAACCCCTAAACCCCTAAACCCCTAAACCCCTAAACCCCTAAACCCCTAAACCCCTAAACCCCTAAACCCCTAAACCCCTAAACCCCTAAACCCCTAAACCCCTAAACCCCTAAACCCCTACACCCCTAAACCCCTAAACCCCTAAACCCCTAAACCCCTAAACCCCTAAACCCCTAAACCCCTAAACCCCTAAACCCCTAAACCCCTAAACCCCTAAACCCTCAGCCCTCAAGAAGTCGATTTTCTTGCGGGGTTTCTGGCCGACTTGCTAGTCTCTATATACTTACAAATACCCAGGAAACCTTCACAAGGACCTGGACTGGGCCCTTATTCCTCTTTTTGTTCGGGTTTAGGCTCCCTTATGAGCCCCAAAGTACCCTTCTTTTTGCCTGGGTCACTCGTGGCAAGGCATGAAACCCTGAGCCCTGAACCCCCTGAACCAGGAGCTCGGGCAG